TCAGTGTGGCCAAATCTGCCACAACCAAAACACATCAGTGGGTTGGGGATATATTGGTGGACCTGGTACGTGATGTAATCCAGCTTCATTTTGGCTGGGCATCAGGACCTGTCAAATGTCAAAAGTATGGTTGGGGTATTCTCCATCTTTCCATTCACCCTCTTGGTGAATCTCCGAGCACCCACTACCCCAAATTCACCGAGCCATCCCACAATGTCAGTCTCGGATAAATCTACAAGGTCATATGCAGCGATGGTTCCCCTGGATGTGTTCATCCTTTGCTCACGAACAACCTCACACTCCTCATCCCCAAACTTTTCATTTTTCATGAACTTTTCAGTCTGTCCATGATTTTTGGTTTTTATCAGAAGGCTGCCTGCAGCCAGAAGATTCGCCTTTTCAACCTTCTCAGCACCTCCCAGAACTCCTCTCACACACATCTGGATCCATGGCCAACCTTTGGACTTGAATGATTTCCCTGAGTTGAGTGTTATTTTTAGGTATGAGCCCGAGGATCCCCCCCCCCCTACCTGAGAAAAGAAAAGTTCATCTGTCCGCACCCGCTTACCGGGTCGGCTCGGGCCAGTCATCTTCACTTCACTCCATCACCACCAAGAAGAACATTACTCTGAGACTCACCCGAAGTCTTGAAACAAAACGAAATTCAGAAGTAAATGAAATGTAACCAAACGGAACTAGCTTCCACTGTTCGTATGGCGCGTCAAAAACGCTCTACACTTATCCGGACACCGACGCGCGTCACCCCAGATGGCTGGGACGTGTCAGCGCCTCGCGACCTCCTCGCGATCTGAGCGCACTTATGTGTGTCTGTCAGTGGGGCTTTACGACACACTCAGCTGCTGAGATTATATGGCGTCGCCTCTTCTCACCCTGGCAGGAAGAGCGGGCACCGCGGGGAATCGAACCCCGTACCTCCGGTTTCCCAGACGCGCAGTGGAACCACTACGCTACCGGCACCTCAAAAGAGCGCACTTATCAAACACGATGTTTGCGCCGAGTATGACTAAGCCGCGTCAACATGCGTTTTTGATATTCAAATCGCTGCCAACTTTTCTTCATAAAGTTTTTTTTTTCCGAAACGGAAAAAAATGTTTAATACGGCACCATTAAAGTTAAAACAGACGATCAGTAGACGAAACTTTTATGAAGTTTTTGGAATGTTTTGGGGGGAGAGGACAAAGCATACCCTCAGAATTTTTGGAGAGCCCCGCGCCCCCCCCCCGCGCCCCCCCCCCCCCCCCAGGATCCGCCTATGGCTGCCTGCCGCCGACCATCGCCGCCCAGCGCACCAGCAATGGGTTTTGCACCAGGATGAAGGATTTAGACGGTCCCGTTGTGCATTCATTGCTTGCTCACCGTTGTGTAACATGTGTTGACGATTTACATTTTGATTAATGACTGTGTTTTTGGCGAAGTTGTGTGAACCACTGGATCGTTGATAACATACGAATATGGTCGCGTTGTTGTCATTTTTAAATGTTGCATTCATGCTACTATTGTAATTGTACCGAATACTTATTCGGATGATTTGTGAACGCAATGAACTGAACTCAACTGCGTGGAATGTTCCCGACAACGCTGGCGACCTTTTTGGCGCATACTGCTACACGTCATAATGCATACGACATGTTGGCTGACCGAAATCAATTCAGTTCGAGTTCATAATAGGTCAGTGGTATTCAATTCTTAGGGATTACAACGCAAGCCATGCAAAGCATTTACAATTTCACAGGTTTGACCTCATTTGGCACTGAAGGCTTATCCTATGATCATAATTTTTCACGCAACTTAGTTCACTGTAGTACCCACATACCCCGGAGTGCGTGTTAAATTAATAAATTTGCATCTTAAATGTATAAGCCTACATATTCTACATACCACGTCATTCGCATGACAAAATACGAAGTTGAACCACAGGTTCAAACGCAATGCAAATGTCATAGTTAGTGGGGCCGCCAAATATAGTCATGAATAATGAGCACAGACAAGTTTTTACATCATCTCGAAATCTGTATACAGAATATATATATACGATCATCATTTCGGATGCTTCCATGGCTAAACCTGAATAGCACTATACTCGTTTGTAATCTGGAGCTTTAGAACCTAATTCTGCTCATCATATGTCTTTTGATCATGTTTTCAAAAACATGGATCAGCACACGTGTCCAAAAACGAAAATAATGCAAGTGGGTGTGCCCACCTGTCTGTTTGTCCAAGGGACAATCCAAAAGTTGTCAAAAACATAAACCCTGTCTGATCTTTGAACGGACGAACTGATTTCAAAGACATTTGCAACCAGTATTTTACGACGGTCTTTTTCGTGCGCACGCTGTCCGGCGCCTGGTGTTACTAGTAGTTGCCAACGCCGTTAGGTTTAACGAAAACTGCCACCAGCCCATCGCTGACCTTGCTCCAGAGATGGCGGACGCGCAGGCTCAAACCATTTGATGAAGTTTGCTTTATTAGTCGATTCTGAAAAATAAACGTTCTCAGAAAAACACGGGATGGTCTTGTTTGTTTTTGCACCTTTTAGAACCACTCTATCAAACTTTAACGAGACCGCTTGTATCTTTCTGGCCAAGAGGTCCCCTTGAGTAGGACACGAAGGGGCACTTTATTGCTTCCGGGTCAAGGGCTGAAGGGCCACTCCACCCCACCGGATGTTGTGTTCCGGCTGCCATTCTGGCGACGCGTGGCGGGTCCCTTGTTCGATCTGAACGCCCTTAAAGGGATATATCATGTGACATTGGTTTGCTCCCTGGCGCGTGAGGTATTCTGATCCGCCCAGTTAACCCCAGATCAACGCAGGAACCCTAACTGGCACAACATCTCTGGTCGCCGCAAGTGGTTAAATAACGGCACGTATATTCCAGTTTGACTTTATGGCCCCGTGTTGGAGTTCGGGTGGAGGGCATCCCGTTCGGCACCAATGGCCCTGACCGGTGTAGGACTCTTGCTTTGCCTTTATGTGAACACTCACACTAAATTATTATGTTTCCTTTCATTGTTGGAGGGCAGCGACCAAAGCAATAGGCCTCTGTCATTCGGGTCTCGTCCCGGTCCCTGTTAAGCAAATCTTCTCCTGGCCAACCCGAGATTCCTTGTTGAAACAGAATGTCCTGCAAGGCACCCTGGGCTCCTGAACGATGCGCCAGCCATACATTGTTGGAGGAGCTCGCACGAATGTAAATCGCAGGTCCAGCCGTGTTCCTGCTTGAGAAATGGGCCCCCGAGATTAGACCAACACGCGGCCGACTGTTCAGTGTTGGTGTTAGACTGTTCGGTGTTCGGTTCGGTGTGGCCGAAATAAAAGAACGCTCCGTCTCAGCGGTCCCCAATCGGTACAGCACGCATTCCAACCGACATTTGAGATCACGGCTCTCCGGGCAGGGGTCCTTAACGTGACCTACAGCCCCTTCAGCCTTCCAATCGGGCCCTTGATCTTTGGTCTCGAGAGATCCTCCAGCCCCTCTTCGGGCCCCAAACGCCGCTTTTGGCCAACTCGGGGCCGCTTGACGCCAAAGGAGCCCTGTTCGGCACTGTGGCCCCTGACCGACACAGGAGCCCCTCATTGTGGTAGGGGCCTTGAACAGTGCAAATCGCGGACACCGGCCTCGTTCCTGCTTCGGCCATAGGTCTCGAGGACTCAGACGGAAATGGAGCCGGCCGTTTGGCTCTGTGTCAAGGCCCTATATAATAGGGATAGGAAACCCTAATAAAAGGGGCCTAATAGAAGCCCTCTGATTGGTATATGAGGTCACAACCGCTTCGGGTTAGGGGGGGGGGGGCAGGCTCAAGTGCAATCGGACCCCTAATCTTTGGCTCCGATGGACATTCCTGCCCCTCTTCGGACCTCCTCAAAGTCCGTGACCGACTAGGGTCCACTAGCCGACACATAACACCCTGTTATGAGCCCTGACGGACACAGCAAACCCAAACATTCAGGGACCCAGATCGATGTATATCGTGATCCCTCCCCCAGTCTTGTTCCTGCTGGGGAAATGGGGCCCCAGGGTTCAAGACTGACAGAGAGCCAACTGTGGTGTTCGTGATCCCTGGCCGGCTTAAACACTAGCATGATCTCAGGAGATCCTCAAACAGTGCAAGATGACCCCTGACTGACATTTCAGGTCGCGACCCCACGGGTCGCAATTCTCTACGTGGCCTGCAGCCAGCCCTTCGGGCCCATAAGCTCTCCACCTGGGCCTTTGATAGTAGGTTCCGTTAGGCTGCTCGGTCCAATCTTCGGTTCTCCTCAAACATTACCCTTGATCGGCTTGGGGCCCCTCGCGAGAGCGGAACCCTCTCACTTAGGCGCTGTGGGCCCTGACAGACACTGGACTCCGACTAATGTCAATCGCTGGTCCCGGCCTTGTCCCTTCTGGGGAAATGGCTCTTTAGGCCAATGCCGCCACGGAGCCGACTGTGCGTTACTGGTGGTGTCTGACCGACCTATAGACCCTTATCGACTCCGGAGGCCCCTGATCAGAGCATGAGTCCTCTGGCTGGCGTTGGAGTTCCCGGCCCTGCGGACCGGGCCCCTGAATACGACATCCGGCCGGGCTTTTTTGCCCTTCAGCACCTCAAATCGGGCCCCTAATCGTAGGTCCCGAGGGACACGAAAGACCCTCGGAACCCAAGGAAGGGGAGGCACATGCTTTGCGCCCCTCTCCGCCTTTACTACTGATTTTCAGTTTTTTTAAGGGCAAGGCAGTGAGATGCACTGCATGATTTTCAAAATGTCTTTCTCAGTTTAAAACCCATACAAATGTGGAACACTCCTTTATTCGAGTGACTGAACCAGATTTTGATCCGGATTTGAAGGAAGTTTTAACAGAAGCTCCTGTAAACACAAAAGTTCATGCGTTTTTCCGTGCGTGAAGGTACCAGTGCAGTGGTCACACTTATTGAAAAAATAATAACCAGCTGTTACAAGCAGCTGGCAGTATGTCTGGAAAGATGTGCAATCTTGGAACTGAGATCATTGCGACGCAGTCACGCGCGTTACAGTTGTCGTCAATTCGCGACATGCGTCACCTGCATCGCAAAACAGGAAAGAACACACAAATACAACGACCCTAGAAAGCTACCATAACTTCGAGGCTTGGAAGGCACCAAGCTCATTGCATCATGCGTGCGTGCATGGAGGGGGCTGGAGGGGCGTGATGGCGGTGACGGGGGCGGATGCGTCATCGCACTCGTAGCATCCCAGAGGTGAGATCATTTACTTTCGCGTGCCGATTTGATGCCAAGGCTGGTGTTGAGAGGAGCTGTGCTGGGATCGGGATCCTCACCAGGTGTGAGTGATGATGTGCGTGTCCGCGTTGGAAGCAGGAGGCGCCTTGGCCTCATTGTGTCCCTTTCTCACCTCAGGATTTGGCCAAAGCTGCTTGAAAGTCAGTTCATATAGGTGTGGGAAACTCAATGTTTTTTAAATGGTCTTGTCATCTTTTTTGCGAAGTTTGTCAAACCGCACTGATCTCAGCCGGGTGCCAGCATACATAGCAGTGTTGAAATTGGGAAATTTGTATCTGAATAGGAATGCTTCCATGAGATTATTTCTTTTGGAGCATACATAAAAGCAAGATGTGAAAACCATAAAGTGATACATTATATTATCCTTCAAAATATGATAATGCTATATGTGTACACCCTGTGATGCAAAGGACGGTTACCCATTGGGCTTATGCCCCTGTTAGAATAGGGGGTGACTATACACAAGTCTGTGCACCCTCCAAAAATCTGTCGTGATTGTAGGTGCAGAACATGCCCACACTGGCCCTTGCCAAAACTGTTCAGATGCCAAACACATGTCCTAGTCAAAGATCCTACAGCTGACATGGCTGTGTAGCCAGGTTGGCATATAAGGATTCCACTGATTTGTCAGGTGGCATTTCATGCTTTTGGAGCATGGGAGCCCATGGCTAATATGCTGTGTTGGAATTAGCTGTGAGTTTCCAAAGAGCATATGTTGCATTGCATCAAATCAATGTGGTGTGGTTTTAGCATCATATCAGAGATTACATGCTATCAGTGGTCAAACTATTAGCCATTTTCAACATCAAAATTTAATTGGATGATATGCCATCTGATATTCAGCTAGGCTAGGCTGAGCTGAGGGGTGTAGTATCCTATTAAATTGAGGGGGGGGGGGGGGCTTCAGCTCCCTAACTTTTGATGCAGCCACAGCAACTTTGGGAAGGAAGTAGCTCAAATCTGGGGAGGAAGCTGTTTGCTGGCATATTGTGGGAATAAGCTGAGTCATTTTCCACTGTTCAGCTCTCTCCCCTACTCCTTTTGTGAAATAACACCCCTTGGCCTTGCCTGATGTGGATGGGCTCATAGACAGAAGATTTTGGTTTCATATCCAAACTTTTGGGTGAATGACATTTTCAGATCAATATTTGTATCTTTGGCTTTGGCAGAGCCCATATTATATGCCATCTCACATTTCATCTGTTAAATGAAAAATTGAGCTATTTGTAAAGTGCAAAAGAGTTTATGATCACTTAACCAGGGCTTTATTTCCATGCTGCCTAAGATATGCCCTGCATAGGTGGACAATACTAATGCATGAAGCCCCAAGAGTGACAAAAGGTTAGCTCTTACCATTGTTTATGGCAGACTGATGGGGAGGGGAGATCTGATGCAAACTCCCCAATGATTTCCAAAGCTATGAAAGATAGAGTCTAGCCTGAAACATGGGGGATTGGTCTCTATTGAACTGAAGCTAAAGGAGCTTAGGTCTGAAGGAGGCCAAGGCTGTGAGCTGTGCTGTATGATCTTCAAGATGACTCATTTCAAAATACCATGCAAATGTGGAACACTCCCTTTAAATATGGTCATTGATTGATTGACAAAAAAGAAATAAACACAGTGCATGTTGATAAGTTAGATATGCATTTTATGTGTTGTTAAGAATATCCTTTTATTTCATATGCTTCTTGATAAAATGTGTGCATTTTCCAAATTTTTGGTTTTGTTGCCTAGGTGCAGATGCTTTGGGAGCATTAGGACCAGGAGGCTGAGCACCCATGAGTTTCAATTCTAGGAAAACCATGATTACTTTGGTAATCCCAAGACAACAATCAGCACATCATTGCACATAGCCCAGGGTACAGAAGTAGAGGGACTGCAGGCAGACCCGGCATTATTCCTGAACTGACGTTATGATGGCTCCACCCCATGCATCATTGCTATGGCCCAGCAAAATATATTGTCAGTGGTTAGTTGCAGAACAGCGGGTAAGACTGGCTGATAAGTGTGGCAACTTTCAGCCTTGTTGGTGCAAGAGATGTCCAGCATTGCATAAGACATGTAAGCATTTTTTAGACATTGGTGTCATTGAATTGGGTTATGAGGAGTGCATCATATAGTTCTGTTACATGTCCTCTTGCCAGGAGCTGTTGTACATGTCTTGTTGCTTTCCAGGTCCAACATGCCTCCACGGTTTCCAGAAGAGGTGGACGTGTTCACAGTCCCCCATTCCAGAATGAAATACCTCGTCCAGATGTATCGAAATCAGGTGTGTACCCACAATGAACACTCCATGTTTTAACATAATTCTCTCCTGGGGCCTCCTTTGTATCATCTCTGTTGAACTGCATTACCAATCAGGACCAAATTGATGAGAACCAAACACTTTCATGTTGTGTGCATCTCGACGCCCTTGGGACACGTGGAGCGCGTGGCCGGCGCCTCGCCGCCGTGACGACTGACCCGCACGCAGCTCTCCACCACCGACTTCAACAACGCGGCCGAGATGGCCTGCTTCCTCTCGTCGCTGCTGGAGACGTTCAAGGAGTTCCAGCAGCACGAGCAGATCGAGAACCACTTCATCATGGACCGGCTGAAGCGGCGTCTGAGCGCACTCTCCGTCTACAACTCGGCCGTGTGCAGCTGTCACCAGGACAACCGACTCACAGAGGCGAGGCTGCTGGCCGGCGGGGAGGGACGGTAGGGGAGGAAGGGGCAGCGGAACCCGACGGGAGGCGGGAGGGAGAGAGGCAGTGGGGGGAGGAAGGGGCAATGGGAGGGAGAAGCGCAGTGGGACAGGAGGGACAGCGGGAGACGGAAGGGGCAGCGGGACCCGAGTTTGCCGAGATAGTGAAAGAGAGGAGCGTGTTTCTCGTTAACCGGGTGGTCAGGTAACCGAGTGAGATGTGGGGCCCCGGCCCCTCCCAGGCGCGCGAGGTTGAGTCCGCCGCTGTCTGTGTGTGTCTTCGTCTCCTGGGATGTTGAGTGTATGCGTGCGGTGGAACGGGAGGCTATCGATCGACTGACGAGTCTTTGTGATCCGGCTACTGTCTCTGTGAGATCGACCCCACACAGGTGTTAACACGCGATGAGACACCCTGAAGTTAATCCACGAGTCATCGGCGGCGGCCGTTTTTGCTCGCATTCGGTATCCTGTGGCGACTACCAAACGGATCAAGACGCCACCCCGGAGCTCGCGGTACCCTCAAATGAACAACTGAGATGGTTTCAGTAATACGAATGGAGTTCAAAGCCACGTTTCGGTTATGTCACAATAAGGTGATGAGTCCACTGGTGGTGCTTCTTTTGCCACCTGGTGTGATCTTCGTTTTACTAAGTCATTCTGGACGAGACAATAATGCCGGCGGACGTAAACGCACTGCTCAACACTAGCATGAACACATTCGGGGATGAATGCATGAATTGCGTGATTGCATTCGGGAAGTCGGCTTCTTACGAAATGACCGTCAGTCATGAGACTACATCGTTGTGGGCTGGTTGAACAGGATATTGTAGTCGTGTGGTAACTATACATTAGGCACGCAAGCTTCTGTTCGGTATGCCAATAACTTTGTCGGATTTGGTTTCTTATGCTAATATTTTTTGAGTTGTACACCATTGCACAAGGAACCATGGTGGTTGTATATGTAATAACCACGTATACAAGGGTAGTCTTTAATTCAGTGTAGTCTAACGTGAATAAAATGTAAAAGCCACAGACTGGGTATCTAATTCAGGAGCGCGTGTGATGAAACGCTTCCGCTAGGCCGGATGGGGTTTGACCTGAGGTCATTGAGGGTCACCACGACACTGTAATAATTTTCCCCCGATACGGATGCTGAAGCCGCCGATTGTCGTTGGAGCCAGTGTAACCAGCTGGTGGGTGATGGTACAGACGAGGCAAAGTAAGGGCAAACTGCAAAGGCCAAATCAAAGAAAGCTCTACCCTGAACATCTGCGTGGCAAGCGCGAAAATGTTCCGGAGATTTCCGCATTAGGACACCCGTAGGGCCCGTTGTGCGACTGACTGCGGCTGCCGGCCCAGATGCTGGAGATGGTGCAGAACGGCGTGGCGGGCGAGCACGGCTCGGAGCGCGAGCGACAGCTGTTCCGCTGTCAGCTGCGGCAGAAACTGGACGAGTTCACAGACAACTTCCTGCCGCACATGGAGGAGGAGGAGCAGATCTTCCAGGTGAGGCGGCGCCGCTGGAGCGCGCAGCGGTCGCTGGGGTCCGCGCGAGGCGTGCCACTAGCTGGTCGTGTAGTGGCGTCACGTATGTTTTGTTATGAGTTGCCATGCTTTCGAACTAAAGTTGAGCCGAAAGCCACCTTGACACGAACTGCCCAGCTGGCTGGCGTGGGCGGCGAGAGCCCAGTTCTCCGCCGGGCCAGACGCCGCATGCTCCGGACCCCACTCCAGCACCCGGTGGTTCTCCCCCAGCCGCTGCTGATCAAGTACTTCGACTACGACGAGCTGCGCGAGCTGAAGCATGACGTGCTGCAGAACCACCACCTGTCCGAAAAGGCCGACCTGCCGGAGAAGGGGGCCGAGTCGGCGGTGCCGCCGCCGCCGGTCGCTGTGCCGCGCCTGCCGCCGGAGCTGCTGACGCTGATCTTCGCACAGCTACGGCCGGCCGAGCGGGCCGCCTGTGCGGCCGTGTGCCGCCGCTGGCACGCCGCCTGCCTGGCGCCCTCGCTCTGGACCAGCCTGCGCCCGGTCCTTGCCGGCACAGGTGGGCTCGCACTGCCGGCCGACTCGAGAGGGGCGCGCGCTGGGACCGAATCCTGGCGCGAGTCAGGGGAGCGGAGGCTGTGCCTTGCCGGCCGACTCGAGAGGGGCGCGCGCTGGGACCGAATCCTGGTGCGAGTCGGGGGAGCGGAGGCTGTGCCATCGGGCCGAGCCATACGTGGCACGGGGGGTTTGTCGGTGCACGCGGTGCGGCCGAGCGGCTGACGTCGGGTCATATGTCCGGGCGGGCGCTTACGCTGGGCATCTGTCGCCAGGTGCACGCGTGTCGACGAAGGGCGACGTCATCGACGAGCTGATGCTGGAGTCTGCCTCGCTGAAGCTGCGGGACCTGGACGCCGACGTGGACGAGTGTGAGCCGGCGCCGTGGCCCGGCCAGCGTCAGGACTCGGTCGTCACCGCCCAGCGGCGCATGCTCAAAAGGCGAGCCACCGGTGCCGCCGACCGCCGGAGGGCTACTGAATGGGGCCGGGATGACTGTGGTGTCGGCGAGTGTACGAGTGGAAGCATTACGCTACAGGCTGGTTATCCGCGTAGTTACCCGACTGCGATAGCCACGACAGACCGGCTCCGACCGCGGGGTCACTGCTGGCTCACGCACGGAGGACAAATGGTCGAGGTCTTGCAGGCCACAAGGTCAACCAGATGATGCCAGATGATGATGATGCAGATGCAGAGTCCGGTGCTGACTGGGGCGTGTTTACAGTGTGACCAGCCACACGCTGCCGCTGGTGGGCCAGTACGTGCAGTCTGGTGCTGACTGGGGGCATGTTCACAGTTTGACCAGCCACACGCTGCCGCTGGTGGGTCAGTATGTGCAGAGTCTGGTGCTGGCCGGCTGCCGCGGCCTCGGCAGCACGCAGCTGCGCCAGCTGCTGGTCCACTGTCCGAACGTGCGCCACCTGGACGTCAGCTACACCAGCATCGGTGACTGCTCATTCAAAAGGTACATGGAGTATCGCTTTGGCCGGTGGCTGCCTTTAGGAATACCCTTTGCCTACACATCGGCTTTGGGCTGGGATGCCAAAGCAAGCCTCGATGATAGCAGCAGGCGTCATGTGCCGTGCCTGCAGAGCAGAGCAGAGAATGGCTGCCTTCTTTACTGGCAGAAATGATGAGTAAAGGTTCCGGGGCTTGAGAATGCTATGAACACAACACATGGCACATGCGATTCAAACGGTTTTGGTGAGTGTAGATGAACCAAATCGTGAACAGCATACAGAAGACCTCGGAACCGAGGCGCCAGGTTTGGAATCCACATACCCACATACAGAGCATCCAGCTACCACTCGTAAGCATCCGCGGGGACAACGAGACGCTAATTGTTTGGCAAATATCATGCGGAACGAGGTTAATCCTCACGTTACTGTGAATGAAGCTTACTTCTGTTAAGGCTTATCGTACGAATGCATTTCATTCGTACGCTTTTCACCTTTCACGTCTTAAAAGAGACGGAGCGGGCGCTTCGGCTGCAGTCAGCTGCGGTGTGCTGAGTGCGCGGCCGTGTGTGGTCTCTGCGTGCAGGCTGCCGCCGGCGTCGCTGCAGCGTCTGGAGCACGCCGACCTGTCTGGCTGCGCCCGCCTCACGGACCGGGCGCTGGAGCGGCTGGCGGCCCAGCTGGACCTGCTCTGGCCGCACGCCGCGCCGCCGGCCGTCGAGCAGGACATCGAGGAGGGCGGCGGCGGCCTGGTGCCCGACCGACCCGACGCCGACTGCTACGACTGCGAGAGCCACGAGGGCTGCGGCGCGGCCACGGCCGGCGCGCGCCGCCTGCCGCGCGACAAGAACGGCCGCGTGCTGGTGCCGCCGGCCGGCGGCGGCGCCCGGCTGCGCCACCTCTCGCTCTCCGGCTGTCTGCGCGTCAGCTCCGCCGGCGTGGCGCGGCTGGCGGCGGCGCGCGCCGTCGGCTCGCTGCGCCACCTGGATGTCAGCGGCTGCTGCCGGGTGTCGGGCGCGGCGCTGCGCGCGCTGGCCGCCGCCGCACCTCGGCTGCCGGCCGAGCGGCTCTGGTACTGCGACCTGGTGCGCGACGGCCCGCACCCGGAGCAGGCCAACGGCTGCGACAACGTCGAGTGTCCGATCCGACACTGCTGCCGCAACTGAGCCGGGCTGAACGCCGGCTGGCCTGCTGGGCGGCAGCGCGCCGGCCCCTGCACGCGACGCTCGCTCTCCTCCGCCCCGAGCGCCGGGCGGCGGGTGGCGTCCTCTGCTCTGCTCGCCTTCTCGCAGCCGCCGTCGAGACGAGGGCAGCGTGCGACACGGACTGTCGGCGTTTCCGGCCGCGCTGCTCACCTGGTCGCCGCCGCCAACGCTCGTCGGGAGGCGGGACGGGTCTCCCTCCCCCATGTTGCCGTCCATGCTTGTTACCTAGTCGCGCGTCGTGTGGTGTGAAGCTGTCTGTGGTTGTAGTGGCGCGGTCGCGGGAGAGGCGGCTCCGCGGAGCTGACCATCTGCCATTGGCTTATGCTGAAGGCGGCGTTTGGTTGTGTTACATATACGCTGGAAACGTTCTAAAAGCTGTTCAACTCTGCACGTTTGTTCAGATTTACCGTGCCCCAGATGTGAACTGTCTCTTCGTCCAGGCTTGGCGTCACATGCGCGGCGTGCTGCTTACGCATGCGGCAAACGCCAGCGCTCAAAATACCTAATGGGAAATTGCTCTTGAATCTCGATAAGACCAGAATTTTCTGCCGTCGGCTTGCTTAGATGGATAATTTCTGGCATTCGCCTCCAGCGCTCACCTGTACATACATGACAGAACACAGTTTAATCTGCTTGCTTCCAAACAGGTCGCAGCTGTCCGTCAGCGGTCGCCGTTTGTTCTGCGCCTGTCTGACATGCGGGCGATGTGACGTGTTTGTGAATGGAAGGAGGCTTGCTGCGGTGACCAGTTGCTTCTGCGATAGGGCCGCGTTTAGGCACGGGTTGTGCCGTCGTCTGGCCCGTTTGGTAGTTTTCGCGTCACAAGCTAGTTGAGTGGTGTGGGCTCACACTGCGAGGCTGTGCGGCGCCCGAGCGGAAGGCTTAAAGACGCGCCTCGGGTAGGCGCAGGAGCGCCTCGGTCAGCGCCGCTTGCCACGTATGCACACTCCGAGGGATATTTTAGCCCTTGGGTGTTTGTTCACCGCTTTAGACGTGCTTAGTGCGTATTTGGAGGATGACATGGCCTAGATGGTGCGGCTTGCGCGTGGGACGTTATCTCGTGTTGGGCTGTGAAGGACGGACAGTTTTCGGGTGGCTGTTCGCCAGTGTTTGAAGGCCCGACCTGGGCAGACTTGACGCTTGTGTGGTCTGACGGTCCCGTCATTGGAGCGGCTCTGGCCGTGGGGCCATTCGTGTCTGCTGATGTACCAGAATTAAACAACAAAACGTTTCATACGTTGTTCTGGCCTCTGGCATTTCGTTGGGAAGGATGAGGTGCGGTGGCCTGACTAACTTGAGCAGTGTTACATTGAAATCCGCTGTTTCCTACCGAATCCCATCAAACTGTTAAGCTGTTCACGTGGCTTAAGTTGAAATGAACCTGACTTCTCACGGTATGGTAGTCATAAAGACTGGCATTTGTGATAAATCTAGGTTTCCGGTAGTAGCTCAAGGTTTTATGGCCAAGCCTGAGCGTTTGTGTTCTGAGTGGGGCCTGACACAATTTGATAAGGTGCGGCGAGCCAGGCGTGCCTTAAAATCTGTGGGACTTGCTCCAATCATGTGAGAATAATGTCGGTTTTCGTGGTGTTACGGATTGCTCTGTTGGCGCCGGCACTGCGGGTGAGGCGCTTTTGGTTACTGGGTCAAGGGGGCAGTTAGAGAGAGCAGCGGCCGACCGAACCGAGTATAGGATGCTTTTCACAGCCGCTTCATGCTTGATTCTGAATTCCGTGATTGCTATTTGTCATGGAACATGGAGCTCCGCCTCGCAGGATGGAGCTGTCCAGCCACTCCTAGTGAGTCGTCAGTGAATGTCCTCATGTTTGATTCTGAATTCCGTGATTGCTATTTGTCATGGAACACGGAGCTCCGCCTCGCAAGATGGAGCTGTCTGTCCAGCCACTCCTAGTGAGTCGTCAGTGAATGCCTTCATGTTTGATTTTCTTAGTGGTTTACTATTAAGTAATTTTGTTACGACAAAATTTGTGGGAAATGTATTGTAAACAAGCAATCACACCATATGCGAAACTACCGTGTACAGACGTGTGGAGAACAGATAAATGTCTCCGTACGGTGGAGCGGTTTATTCGACATTCAGGCAGCGTGCACTGGTGGGCACAGTTGGCTCGACTAGCCCTGGAGAGACCAGGCTGTCCAGCTGGGAGCAGGATTTGCCACACATGCACACGTCGACTGACTGAAAGGACGCGGTATACAAGGTCTTTTATACCTCAGTTCAGGGATGCTGGGGACAAGCAGTTTGTGGCGTTTGTGAGTGGTTTAATGCGCGGCTTACGGAGCACGCTTCTGGGAGACCTATGCACAGCTGGGTTATGCCACCGGCACCGGCAGACCATTGGTGGACCACATGATCGCCCGGCCCACGGCAATGGAATGCGTTGCGACGGAGTGGCGATGATCAATTTCCGTACCTGAATGGGGGGAGGAGCAAATCTAATGCAGGTGGGGTGTGGGAAATGCAACATCACTTCTTCGAAAAAGAATTAAGTGAACAAAACCTTATGAAATAATGCAAATCAACATCATGTTACAACCATCACCAATTTCAGAGCACACGTTTTATGCGCAGCAAAGAAATGATGCGGATGCAGATATAGTAGAAACACTGCACCTCATCCGTAAGCTTCACCTGAGACTGGACGCACAAACATTCTCTTGCGGTTTTACTTGACAGACGTCGCGTAGGCTATGCACATTGAGATATAGTTTTCAAGTTTCCATCTGCCTTTTGTGAAAATAGCAAGACTTATGGCTTGAAATGTACGGCAGTGCGTGTTGGCCGGCCAGGTGGGCCCGGGCCCACTGTCGCCTCTCGTAGCCCGTGGCTGCGGGCGGTTGGCGAGGCTCAGGTCCGCTGCGCTCTGCGTTAAAATCGCCTCAGTAAACTACGAACTTAGTGGAGCTACGTTATGGTAAATGTCGTCCTGGCCGCTCCTGATTGGTAGCATTGTCGGCTACCGCCCGCTGCCCGCGCCGATAGTACATTGTCGGCTACCGCCTCCTGCACCGTGCCGATAGTACATTGTCGGCTACCGCCCGCTGCCCGTGCCGATGGTACATTGTCGGCTACCGCCCGCTGCCCGTGCCGATGGTACATTGTCGGCTACCGCCCGCTGCCCGCGCCGATAGTGCATTGTCGGCTACCGCCCGCTGCCCACGCCGATAGTGCATTGTCGGCTACCGCCCGCTGCCCACGCCGATAGTGCATTGTCGCCTACCACCCGCTGCCCGTGCCGATGGTACATTGTCGGCTACCGCCCGCTGCCCGCGCCGATAGTGCATTGTCGGCTACCGCCCGCTGCCCACGCCGATAGTGCATTGTCGGCTACCGCCCGCTGCCCGTGCCGATAGTACATTGGAGTGTAGTGCTGCTAAAGATGTTAACTCTTAAACCAGAAATGCTTGAGGTACGCTTTGGTGCCATTCATGTCGTATATGACGCATAACACGCAAGGATGTTGGCTATAATATGCTGAGTTTACAAGCGACGCCTTTGTAATCAACATGGACGAAAGCAATGTTAGGGGTTTGCTGTCAAACCGCT